TAAGTGGTTTGTGGAGATGACTTTGAATATTTATGTTAGAGGTCAGCATTAAAGGTATCACAGTTCTGTAGTAACTCTGCATGCCAAGGTTTCCTTGAGCATAAATTGTACTTTTCGGTTTAATTTTTTAAAAATGTCTTTAAAGAGAGAGAGAGATTTTCATTAAAGCAGGACAGAAAAATCTAGAGAACTACAATGGGACAGTGTCTGAGTAATTGAATCAGTAATAAGCCGAACAGTTAAAGAAGTGAATATCATAATATCGCGTTGAGATGCAGTGGTTTATTGATGTTTAAATCAAAAAAAAAAAAAACTGACTAGTGCTAGAAAAATGCAGTGTATAATGCATATTAAAATGAATTGGTCTGGGAGGCATTTAACCTCGTTTGCCACCAACATTTAGTCCTACTTTTAAGACGCTCATTAGGACCAGCAGATAGCATGATGGTAACATCACTGGGCTCCCACGTGGTTGATGGTGGTCCATGTCCGAGACACAGTGGCTTAAAATTCACTCTGGGCTCATGTGTGTGCGTGCCCAAGATCCCAATAGGAAACTGGAAGAGAGGGGATTGTGGCATGGCCACCCCCCCTTGGGGTGATTTCTTGCTTTCTGTAACTCTGTCTTTCTCCACCTAGCAACTGTGTGTGCCCTATAGAAAAAAAAAAATCTTAAAAAAAAGTTATAAAAACAAAAACAAAATGACCCAGAGGTCACCTTAGGGAGTATGTATCCAAACATCACTTTCCTTAGTCCAAAAAGAACCTCATTTTCCTCTTCTATAGCTTGATATAGTTGGAAGTGTGGGCTTTAGAGAGTCTTTATTTCATAACTTCAGATTATTCTATTCTCTAGTATGTTCTCTTAGTCACTTCTTGAAAGCAAGAGTGAGTTTCTTTCTGTGTCAGGTAGTCAGCCATTACTTAACCTATCTGGACACTTATCGCTAACTTCATTACTTAACCTGTCTGGGTACTTATCACTAATACCTTTATTAACCTATCTGGGTACTTATCACTAACTCCATTACTTAACCTGCCTGGGTACTTATCACTAACTCCATTACTTAACCTCTCTGGGTACTTATCACTAATACCTTTATTAACCTATCTGAGTACTTATCACTAACCCCATTACGTAACCTCTCTGGGTACTTATTACTTAATCTATCTGGGTACTTAACCACTAATACCATTACTTAACCTATCTGGGTACTTACCACTAATACCATTACTTAACCTATCTGGGTACTCATTACTTAACCTATCTGGGTACTTATCACTAATGCCTTTATTAACCTATCTGGGTACTTATCGCTAACTCCATTACTTAACCTCTCTGGGTACTTACCACTAATACCATTATTTAACCTATCTGGGTACTTATTACTTAACCTATCTGGGTACTTACCAGTAACTCCATTATGTCATTCCCTTCCCACTTGTCCTGACATAGCCAGGGACAGAATTCAATTGTGCATTTTCTCAAATCATTTGAGAAACAAAGGCCAGTGTAAAAGGGAGATAGAGAAGGAGAGAGGGAGGGGAAACTACGCAGAGCCATTCCTGATGTTCTATTAGATAGCAAATCACACCTGCATGGTAACAGTTCATATATCATGTAATAATTTGTACATTTTAGTCTTATATATTAACTAAATGTAAAAAAAAGGACTAAAAAAAACAAAAATTTCTCCTTTCCTCCATAAATCTTGCAAAATTATATAATTTTTTCTGTATTAGTCAACTCATTTTATTTCTTCCAGCAATAATTTTCTTTCCCCTAATACCAGAAATGTCTCTTCTAACCCATGTAACCTATCCAACATTTAATGGATTCTTCAGGTCTACTGTCTCAAACAGTCCCAATGACAACACTAGGGTGTCCAGGAGGTTTATGTTATTTTCATGCCTATTTCACAGAGAAGTGAGGTTCAGAGAAGTTAAGTCTTCTGCTCAGTGCCACACTTCCTTAGCTTTTTCTCGACATCTCTGGCCCATGCACCTCATCCCCAGCTAGAGTGTATCACTCTAGTGTTTTCAAAGGGCCATTCTCATTCCCTCCGCATGCTTATGAACTTTCCCCTGCCTGGGTGCTCTCTTACATGTCTTTCCTCTTGTCAAACACAGCTCAGAAGTCATTTTCTTAGAGAATCCTTCCACATATTTTCAATTACCCTTGAGTTTCCCTGGTGCTTTGTGTGTTTCACTTGCATCCTTGTTTGCATATGTATTGGTCCCTCTGATTGGACTGTTCCCTAACTGGGGAATAGGGACCATTTATCACTGCCTTCATCGACTGCTCCAGTGCCTGATGTACATTAGGTATTCATCTTCATTGAGTCAGCTCTGCCTATGAATAAATCCTATGTTATAGGGTAGTGTATGAAAATCTGTCAGAATTGAAATTTTTATTTTGCAAAATGAAATAATTATATTTGAACTTTCTTAAAAATTCAGAACACTTCTATTGTATAGTCCTCTGCTAGCCAGGATTAAAGGTATGTGTAGTTGCCATAATTCTGCTCATAATGCTATGCTCCAACATGAAGTACTTGTTTGTATTCTTTTCATTAGCATTCGCTTGTCAACCACTAGCCCAAGACGATTAGCTAATCAATTATCAGTTGAACACTCTTCTTTACCCACCACAGTGGGGCACACAGAAAAATCATAAAATATAGTGAGGGACCATAGAGCCCAGCTGGGGTGACAAGTCTAATACACTAAAAATTTAAGTACAAATACTCTTTATCTGCAACTGTAATACACCAGTGGGTTGCTGACTACAGACTTAAGACCACTTACAGTTAATTAGCCCAGTTATCCTAATACCACTCTGCAGGATGCAGCAGACTGCCATCCAGAACTGTGTAGGGAGGAAAGCCCTCCA